AGGAACAACTGCATGGTGGTTTAGTCGCAAGTGGGGTAATCTTCACACAATCCCATGTTCTAAATAAGAAATAGATAAAGGGTTGGCTTACAATCGCCACTTCACACAAATACAAGTTAAAAATACATCATCCAGGGTACAATCAAGGTCCGACTGCGGAACCAAAATAAAAGAAGACAACCCCAATTGCTAGATCCCCGATCGTCCCAACTGGTCTCCACTACTGATCATCCGGAAAAGACACATAACAACGACCAAGATCTTCATCGAGCTCCCACTTGAGCTCGGTTGCGTCACCTGCACTGGTATCATCGTCACCTGCAACTGTTTGGAAATATCTGTGAGTCACGAGGACTCGGCAATCTCACACCCGCGAGATCAAGACTATTTAAGATTATGGTTAAGGTAAGGTAATGAGGTGGAGCTGCAGCAAGCACTAAGCATATATGGTGACTAACATACGCAAAAGAGAGGGAGAAGAGAAGCAACGCAACGGTCGAGAAGCTAGAAGTGATCCTGAAACTACTTACGTTCAAGCATAACACAAGACCGTGTTCACTTCCCGGACTCCACCAAAGAGAGACCATCACGGCTACACACGCGGTTGATGTATTTTAGTTAAGTCAAGTGTCAAGTTCTCTACAACCAGACATTAACAAATTACCATCTGCCACATAACCGTGGACACGACTTTCCAAAGTTTATACCCTCCAGGGGTGTCCCAACTTAGCCCATCACAAGCTCTCATGGTCAACGAAGGATATTCCTTCTCCCGGAAAGACCCAATCAGTCTCGGAATCCCGATTACAAGACATTTCGACAATGGTAAAACAAGACCAGCAAAGCCGCCCGAATGTGCCGACAAATCCCGATAGGAGCTGCACATATCTCATTCTCAGGGCACACCGGATGAGCAGTCCGTACAACTAAAACCAGCCCTCAAGTTTCCCCGATGTGGCGCTGCAAGGGTCTCTAGTTCAGACCAAAACTTAGAGAAGCACTGGCCCGGGGGGTTAAAATAAAGATGACCCTCGGGCTCCGGAAACCCAAGGGAAAAAGGCTTAGGCTGTTAGGCAAATGTAAAACCAAGGTTGGGCCTTGCTGGAGGAGTTTTATTCAAAGTGAACTGTCAAGGGGTTTCCATAACACCCAACCGCGTAAGGAACGCAAAATCAAGGAACATTACACCGGTATGACGGAAACTAGGGCGGCAAGAGTGGAACAAAACACCAGGCATAAGGCCGAGCCTTCCACCCTTTACCAAGTATATAGATGCATTAATTAAATAAGAGACATTGTGATATCCCAACATATCCATGTTCCAACATGGAACAAACTTCAACTTCACCTTCAACTAGCAACTAGCAACGCTATAAGAGGGGTTGAGCAAAAGCGGTAACAAAGCCAAACAATGGTTTGCTAGGAAGGTGGGTTAGAGGCTTGACATGGCAATATGGGAGGCATGATATAACAAGTGGTAGGTAGCGCGACATAGCGGTAGAATGAACAACTAGCAAGCAAAGATAGAAGTGATATCGAGCGTATGGTCATCTTTCCTGCAATCCCACAAGGAAGAAGAACGACTCCATGAAGAAGACAAACGGACGTAGTCGAACGGATCCTCACAAACGCGACGTTACCGGAACTAACAAGAAGCAACACCGGAAAGGAGCAAACAACATGGTAAACAACCAAGCATAAACATGGCATGATGCACAAGCAAGTATGATGCATGTCCGGTTTAAAAAGGCATGGCATGGCAAAGTGCTCAAACAACACTACAAGTTAAGCGGAGCTCAATATGCAACGAGTTGCATATTGATGAAACACCACATTTAATTATTTAGTTCTCTCCCGCTTAATCTACTCAACAATATTAAATGTTGGTTAACATGGCAAGAGGGTGAAGCATAATAAAACTACCTAACTAGGCAAGTTTAAATGAGGCCGGAACAACAAGCAACAAGTCCGGAAAAATCCTCATGTGCATATTTTAAAGTTGGTACTGTTCTGCCCTAAACCATATTTTAGAGTTGTTAAACATTCAAAGTACTGCCACCATGTTAATCTAGGCATTTTTCCACCCCAGTTACATATAAATTTTATTTAAAATGGAGCTACAGTTATTTAGTTATGAAATAAATCATTTTAGCATGGCATTTAAGCAAATTTAATCAAACAGCATTTTAAACATTTTTAACATGGATGAAACATGCATATTATGAAACTAGACAAAATTCTAAGCATATTACATATAAAGTTTGTTTAATTCTGATGCTTTGTTCATGAATAATTATATGCATGAAGGTTATGGTCTTTTCTGTAAAACTGCCAAACTCCTGGATAATTAGTAAAACGCTCCACGGGAAAAAACATGAGTCGGGCCGAATCCCGCTGGCCCAACAGGAGCATACAGAGGGCGGGTGCTCACCCTGGGCCAAGGCCCGGTCGGTGGAGGAGTGGGCCAGCTCGGGAGGCCAGATCTGGCTTGGGCCTTGGGAGGCTGCGGTGGCCCAGGCAGGCAGCGGTTTGACGAGTGCGCTAGCACGGTCGATTCAGAGGGTCAACGCGAGGCGCGCCTGGCTCGTCCTTGAAGCAGAGGAAGCAGGGACGCGACGACGCCGGCAGGGTTTGGCGACGGGGATGGCATGTAGGCGAACGGAGGTCGGCGGCGGCTGGCGAGGCAGGGCCGGGGTCAACTCGCTCAGGCGGGCCTCGTTGTAGATGCCCAGGGGCACGGCACACTGGACGGCAGAGACGGCGGGGAACTTGGCGACATCAGCAGGTCCTAGAGGGGTCATCAGGGCTTGTGTCGTCGGGACCCGAAGGAGGAGGCGAGGCATCGACGGATTTGGGCGGTGAAGCTCGATTTCGTCCGGATTCGGCCGGACTTGGTCACGGACGGCGCTAGGGTGAGGAGGACGCCGGCGAGCTTGCTCCGGAACAAGGCGGCCATGGCGGGGCATGCTCCTGTTCGTCCTGAAGAAACAGGGAGAGATCGCGAGGTTAGGGAGAGAGAAGAACCAGGGGAAGAAGGAGAGGGAGGCGATGGGGAGCTGCAGAAGGGCCGGCCTTGGAGCACTAGTGCTCAGGGCGATGAGCATCAGGGAGGCAGGAGGCCTCGGGCGCCGGGCATCCACGAGCACGGGGGGCAATAGGTGAAAGGAAGGGAAGGGAGAAGGCACGGCCTGGCCGTGGTCTTGCCGCTAGCGGGCGCGGATGAAGGCAGCTGCGGCGACCGGACTCGTCCAGGAGACAGGGAGGATGTGGTTGGATGGATCGGTGGACTGGTAGGCGGAGGCTGTGAGTGGAGGCCGAGAGGATCTAGATCTGGTGCGGGCTTGGATCCCGAGGGAGAGGGGTGGCATCGGGAGGATGGGGATGGGATAGACAGCCTAGGTTTTAGGGATTGGTCTGATTATATAGTGAGTGGTTAGGTTAGGGCCCCTCCGATTAGATCCGACGGTCGAGAAAAATAGGCTAGGGAGTCCAATTAAAAAAACGGAGAATGTTTTATAGATCTTTGCGGATGATCCGGACCCAACGGTGATGACGGAGCGGGTCGAGTTCGGGTGAGTTTCGAACACGCACGCGAGGGGGTTTGTGCACTGTGCAAGGAGGGGGTTCGAGGCCTAGCGGTTGGTAGTGGACTGTGTAGATGGTCTAGGGAGGAAAAAGAGGGAAAGCTCAGCAACAGTTTTCGGAGACCGAAAACGTCCGACGTTTGACCGACTATAATGCCGCTATAGTTATCCGTTGGGGCATCAAACGGACTCCGAACGCGATGAAACTTAGCAGGCGGCCTACCTACATCATAACACGACCGCACCCCAAATCTCATCCCATTTCAAGAACATTTTTCGGCCACTTAAAAAATACTATTTCGGACGTGTTGCGGGCGCGTGCGAGTGTGTCTGGGCTCAGAACAGACAACAAAGAGAACTGGGGGAACCCGGATGTATGCAAGTTTTGAAAACATGCATATGTGATGCGGATGATGACGAGGCGAAAAGCAACACGTAAGCAAATGACATGGCAACGACGGCGTATGCAATGCGGATGATGACAAGGCAAAAAGCAACACGTAAGCAAATGACATGGCAACGACGGCCGCATAACTAGAAGACGCCTGACACATCGATCTCAGAGCGTTACATTAGGGTGCTTGATGTACAAGGTTATGATCTTATTTTAGGCATTGACTGGTTCTCAATTTTTGGTCAAATGACAGTTGACTGGAGTAAAAGAATGCCGAAACTCAAGCATAAAGGCAATCAGGAACTACCTCGCATTGGGCCAGCATAGTATCCGGTAAGCCTTCTCGAAAGAAAGCCCCTATGAATACAGTCGTCATTCTTCGGTCCCTACTCAAGAAAAGTCAATTATCGCTTTCCCCTTTCAGGAACTTCCAACTAGTCACTTCAATCGCTTTCAATCTCTTCTGTTTCGCTTTGTTTTCCAGTCTCCTTTTACGATCATCATCTCCTTCACTGAAACATCCTTCAAACCACTCACGATTAGAAAATCGAATGCACAATCTATCTTCTTATCCCACGAGAAACTTTCCAAGACAATAGAAAAATTGCAAGCCATGGGATTTCATTAAGCATTTGACTAGTATCTTTCTACGGAGTATATATAGGTAGGAATCTAGTTGAAGCCAGGAGTAATTGATCAGATTGTCACCAAAGTATTTTACAACGTGTGAAGTGAGGCAAACATATATTCCGATAGGGCCACTTTATGTTCTAAAACAACGCTCAATCAACTTCTATTTACATAACCTTCCACTTGCAAAGCCTATGAAATACAGTACATGGCATGCAAGCCAACTCTAACTCAAGATATATACATAATGGTACACTAGTAGAGTCATATGAACTGCACCGCGTAGTCGGTTGCAGATAAAATAAGATTACGACATCATCAGGCTCGAAAACTGCCATCTTCGTACACACTATCATTTGCTAGAGCAAGCCAGTTGTCCATATCGAGGCTTTTCATTGCCGATGGCCCTCCGGGAGCGCAACCACTCTGTAAAATGGAACAGCTCTCTCTGGTAGATTCCCATCCTCTTCGTCATCATCAAATAAGAGATTGTAACTATCAAAATTAAGGTAGCAGTCACAACATATTCTTCAGAAAAGGTGGACATTATTACTATTATTAAATACAGTATTAGCTGAACGGTGGTAATCAGAAGGTTTTTTTTTTTCGAAACGGAGGCAAAAGATTTGCCTCATCGATTAATTAAGCAGAAGAGAATTGCCCAGTTAATTAACGGAAAACCGGGCAAAAACCGAGTAATCAGAAGGTTTCATTGTAATAGATATGTGCATATGTATGTCCCATCTACAACTTCAGCTACGTTTAATCAAAGCCCTATTGTGTGTTTAAAGAAAGCAAACACGAAAATACTGTTGTATTTTCGTAAATAAGAACCACGTACAATCGTACATGCAGAGCAGCTAGTGCAATAGATGGTTGAAAACAGTTGTGCTACTGACAAGAAAAACACCAGACTAAATTCTCATGCAAAGTCATAATTTATAACATCACAAATTGATCCAAATATCACCAGATAAAGCTATAAGATTTCCTTATTGAGTACCGTTGGCTAGTCCTGCATATATTACAGATACTGGAGACCATATGACACAACCATATTGCCCAATTCCATGGAGACGGGCTATCTTACTTATTGTTATGCAAGATATCTTATGTTTTGAGAAGGCAGAAGCACAAACATAAACATAGACCCAAACTAAATGAAGTAAAAATGGAAGGAGATTGTCATCTCTCGATCCATGGCGAAATAACTATCTCTAAGTAAACCAAGCTGTATACAACTTCTAAAATGTGCAATACTCAGGAAATAAGAATTTCTAAGTAGACATAGAAATAGACAAACTCCGCCTATGTCTTCTAGGCATAGCCGGTCCCAAGCCCGGGTAAAGGAGGAGGGTTGTGATAGGCTTGGCGAGCCAACGTAAAAACTAGCCAGTCCCATAGGTATGAAACCCATTTGAGCGAGAATAGTACTAGGATGGGTGACCTCCTAGGAAGTCCTCGTGAAAGGGTTTCATATCTAAGAGTTGTGATAGGCTTGGCGAGCCAACGTAAAAACTAGCCAGTCTTTTGGGTATGAAACCCATTTGGGCGAGAGTAGTACTAGGATGGGTGACCTCCTGGGAAGTCCTCGTGAAAGGGTTTCATATCTAGCCTACCCCAACTTGTTTGGGATAAAAGGCTTCGTAAGTAAGTAAGTAAGTACATAGAAATAGACACTTCCGAAATGAAAAATGTGTCATTTGCACATATAAGACTGTACATCATAGAAGGTTGTAGAAGTATAGGTTACGTACTCATCAGACTTCCTCTGCAATTTGTTGCAGTGCAATTTCACCACATGATGGCAAAAAGAGAGTATTAGTGACATAGCAAATAACGGAAAAGATAGAACAAATCGATAACAGCAACTTGGTGGCTTTAAACAGCACATACAGCTTCCACAAACTTCATACATGCCAAGGAATTAACCGAGTAAAAATCATGTTTATGCCACCCAGATGGAATGACTGTACAATGCTGAAGCATGTATATAAACAGGACAAATGATACTAATATATTACGTCTTTAATGGCATTAATATTGACAAGATAATACTATTTGCACAGTAGTAGTCACATTAATTATGGTGAACCAAGCTAGTATCAACTTGTCCTAGAGTAGGCGTGCCATACGCCCAATCCCACAGCCATGTTCGTAACCACACTGGTAATCATGCCCCAGGATTCAGGTGACGCAACACAGTAGTAGTCAAATTAACTATAGTGAACCAAGTTAGTATCAGCTTCTTACAGGCACCTTCCTGGGGTAGGCGTATGCAATAATAGGCCAATGCCAACAACCATGTTCGTAACTACAATGGTACTCCGAAATCGTTAAGGGGTACCCCTAGCAAAGGTCACTCACACCTCCTCTGGTGGTGACAAGTGGTGCACTGCATGTGCGACACTTTTTGCAACCAGGGAGTTTTGTCGGCATTTTTTCCCATGCATGGGAGGCACCGATGGGTTTGTTTGTGTGTTTATTTGTAGATCCGTTTTTTCAAATGTTTTATCTCCTGAACCGCGTGTCCAAATCACGAACTGTTTTCTCCGTTGCCTTTCTCGCATCGAGATTTTCAAACTATCCCACGTTGGTAGATTTTGATGAACTTTTTTGGGGCAAATTTATGCTTCCAGCTAGTAGCAATTTGTGCTTCAGTGTGAACTAAACTGTGCTCCCAATACAAACTAAACTGTGTTTCCCGACAGAAGCACAAATTGTGCTCTGTTCGCGGGTTAAGCACTACTTTGCTTCACGGGAAGCACTACTGCGCTCACGCAGACACGAAGCACTACCATGCTTCACGCTGCTGACAGACCAAACACCGAAAAAACAAAGAAAAAAAGGGCAGCCCGGTGCACCTAGCTCCCGCTTGCGTAGGGTTCGGGGAAGGGTCCAACCACTTTAGTTCTTTTGTACGCAGTCTTTCCCTGCAGGGTCCGGGGAAGGGGAGCTTTCGCGCAGCGGTAAAGTTGTTACCTTGTGACCATGAGGTCACGGGTGGGTTCGAGTCCTAAAACCAAAGAAAGAGCAAAACAAAAC